TCAAATTTGTTAACCTAATTGATTCATTACATAAGCCTAAACATAACCCTAATGCTGGAGACCATAAAGCTGCGCAGAAGCCACTGATCAAACTTGGAAAAATTGGCAAAAAAACTCAATACTGAAAACTGACTTGCATGGCGATTCAAGGCAGAATTTTTGTTTCAATAGCTTGCTCAAGCATCACTGAACGTTTCCCAATCAAGAACATCCATCAAAACCTCAGGAATTGGTATACAGAACTTGAAATATCTCATGAAAAATTCATAATCGTGTTTTCCAATCTATGCATTTTCATGACATTTTAATTATTGATTCATGTTCCTGGTATGATTCTAAAGCTAACCCATGCGTTTAATTGGATTATTACGTGCTATAGGTGATTTCACCATTGTTAAATGTTAGGGTTTACAGGACCTTAAATTGGGGATTTTGAAACAAAGAAAAATTAGAACCCCTGACCACCACCATTCAAACCAGCGCATTTGGACGAAGACAATGGAAATCTCGCGCTCAATTTATGAGCACTTAATGGCTAATCGCTATTTTCTCAAAGGACCCATTCTGAAACGGTGAAAAAACCGTGGCTTATGATTTGTGTTTCAGGAACATGAAGAAGACGACGTCGTGGCTGCCAACGATTGGCTGGTTTGAAAACTCGCGCGCGAAGATTCATTAACGTTGTTGTTTCTTTTATAATATTTGTTGTTGGTTTAATATTAATAACGCGTTAGTTGGCACAGTTGGTAAGCGAGAGCGTTGGCAATGTATATGACCTGGGTTCGAGCCCCAGGTCTTCATTCTTTCTATATATTTTTTCCTCTAATGTTCATATGCAGCGCAAGCGTTATGGATCACCATACACTTCCAAGATCCAGTCGTCCACGCGTTGGTTACATCAATCTAAAGGCTCATATTTAAGGCATAGGGTAGGCCCTGGTCAAAGGTGCCACATAGTGTCTGGAAAATTCAACGAACCTGAAGGTCATTGGGCTCAAATTCATGGGCTATACCTCCTATTTGGGGTATGAACCCCCAGGTTTGCAAATTCCTCTTTATTTTTTTTTCTTTATATTTTTTACTTTCAATTATTATATTTATTTAATTCTGTCAATTTAATTATATTTTCACAAAAATACAAAATATCATAAAAATCAGAAAAGAATTAAAATAATAAATATTTTTATTTCTAGTATTTTCATAAATAAATTGTATATAATTATTTAGTTTTAAATTAGGTTGCAATTTTAATTCTCTTTAACAAAAATCTAAAAAATGTAGAACTAGGGTTTTATTAGTAATTTTTTTCATCTTTTATTTTTCTTTTCATGATAACCAAATATTATTATTTTATTTATTTTCATAATTAAAATTGTATATAAAAATTAGGTTTAATTTAGGTTAAAAACTTCAATATTTTCTTAATAAATTAAAAGCCATTAGAATTAGGGTTAGTATTAATTTCAATTAATTAATTCCTTTTCTATTAAATCCTAAAATACTAAAAAACACCAAAAACAAGTCCTTTCTTTCTTTTAACTTTAATTAACTAATTAATTTCATCATGTAATTTAATTTTGCAAAAGGGTCCAACGCCCTCGTTCTTAACTTCTTATTAATTCGCGTTTTTATGTTATTTCAATTAAATATTTATGTATCTCTCCCGAAGCCGTGTAAATAATTGCTCGCACTTTTAATTCTTTATTTACTTTGTTTATTTATTTTTTGTCAAATCGGGTTCGAGAAACTTTTGGCGATGTGGACCCGCGCCTTTTGTAATAGCTTAGATTTTTTTTTACGTTCCCGCAACTTTTTTAACTGTTAATCAAAAGCATGAAAGAATGTATGGACAAAATAAAAAAACAAGCGTAGAACACCAATAACATGACAAGATAAATGCAAATGAAAACGACACACGAATCGCACACACCACCCCTAGGGTACGCCTCACTGTTGCCTTGCCTCGAAAGGTGATCGTCGAGTAGAGGATGTCTTAGTAAGTCCTCATGATCCGGGAACCTGGCATGAGGGTAGCTTCTAAGGTGTCTTCCCATTGCTCTGGTGATCACCATGTCCCGAACCTCGAATTGACCCGAACACCTCCAACGGTGGTGCTACCTACCTCTCAATGGCGGGATGGCACTACTTTAAAGGACATTTACACAGACGAATTCCTTAGGGTAGGTAGACGACTCTAGATACTTGCTCTAAATTTCAAAACAAATCAAAATACTTTTCACACCAACACATTTTCAAAAAAGCTTTCGAAAGCATTTTTCAAACACTCTTGAGGACCGATACAAGAGTCGAACTGGAATTTTCAAAGAAACTTTTTTAAAACCCACATTGAAAAGCAAACAAACCATTTTTGAAAACACAAGTGAGCAAGTATCTAAGAGCCCATGGATAACCATGGATAGAAAGGGTGCTAACACCTTTCCTTTCTGTAACCTACCTCCCGAACCGAGAGCAATCTCTTTAAGGAATTTTTCTGTGCTTTTGTCCTTTCCATTTGGAGAAAATAAAAGACGGTGGCGACTCTTGCTTCCGCGACATTTCGCGAACCAGCATTAAACAGTCAGTTCCAGATCCACCGATCACAATCCTCATATCAAAGGCATGACATGCTGTTATCCAACTCGTATGGGGAAGTCAATTCGAGATTCAGAATCTCTCATAAGGCACTAAATATCCAAGGGGCAAGTTTATATCACTTGGGGCATACCACAGTTACAAATCTCACCAAAAGTCGACAAAAATTGCTTGTTTGTGCCAGCAATATCAGATGGCGTCAGTATCAGGTCTTCAGATCCTTCTGTGACAGTTCTTAGGAAGTTGCTTAGGAAGGTTGAGATTATCAGAAATTTTAGATCCGGTGACGGACCAGTAAGCACAAATGTAAAATATGCCAAGATGTTGATACCAGGGGCAGGTAAATCCCCACAGGCGCGTCTGTCATAACCCCGTTTTTACCCCTAAGATTTCATTCATCATGATACCTATTCATTCATTCATACATTGTTTCAATTTCAAGAAAATGAGATCACAAGCGTGAGTCTCTGGTTGGATTTGATTTAACTCTCCTCAGTGGCAACTTGATTCAGGATCTGGCGTCTCACTCGCGTGTGACACCTGTGGTTTTTGTGTATATATCTGCTCATGTGTTGTTGCCTAATTTTTACGGAAGTTGGTCACATTTAATAATAGTTTGTGTCTTGCATTTCGCCTTGCATCAGTTTCGAGTCTCGCATAACTGTGAATTGGTTCAGAATCGAGTCTCGTATTACTGTCTGTCTGATCATTTGCATCATAAGCATGATGCGCTTCATGAACAGTAAGCATACTCATTGCGCATTGAGAAAATATTAAAATATAGTTACATTGCATGTACTGTCAATCATATTTGTATTCAACATCAATAAATCGGGTTTCCGATTAATGTGCATATCAGTTCAAAACAATAAGATCGAGTTAATTGCATCTCATGCATTTTGGTGTTTCATGCGTCTGTTTGAACCAATCCACGGTCTTTAAAGTAAAATTTCAGTCTTTTAAACAGACCAGTCGAATTTTTATTCGACTGCGTGCAAAAGTTAAAAATATTTCTTTCCAGTTTACGCCTGAAAACGACCATTCTATGAGACTTCCGGTCGCGTAGTTTGTGTCAGTGCGTTCAAAATAAATTTTCAGTAAGAGAAATGAATCAGTTATTTTATTGGCCGATTTCACAAAAATACTGCGAATATTTCTTTCGAGTTTTAAAACCAAACTACACATTTCTTGAATCAATATTCCGCGTAGTTTATTTTGGTATACTCATTGGATTTTTTCGACTTCATTTCAGTCGTTTTCGAACTGTCTGCGCCCATTTTTAGCGGGTATTTTATTTTCGATTTTGACCATTTCCGGAGACTTTTTATAGTCGTCAGTGCATGTGAATCATGTCAGTATGTTTGCTTTGAATTTACGATTTGTTGTTTGTTCGATTTAATTCGTTTTCAATTAATTTCGATCATTTTCCACTTAATTCAAAAATTCAAGAAAAAGTATTTTTAGTTAGTATCGTTTCTATACATGTGTATATTAGCAAATTTAAATTAAATTCTCTCTATTGATTTTTTTTCCCATAACTGTAACAAACACTTGATGTATCTAAATGTAAAATTAAAACCAGATTGATTTTCTTGTGGGGGAAGCACTGACCCACATGACATAAACTTTGTAGTTTCTGATTCTCATTGGCATTGCTAATTTTACAATATTTTTTATGACATGCAATTCTGCATTTACTAGGGTCATCATTATAGTTTATAGTTCCATGCATCAAAAGTAATATTATAAAAAAAAGGGAAATATCAGTTGGGTGCATTTGATGGTTAAATAATAATCATAGAACTAATCAACTTCCAAGGATTACATACTTCACGGGTAAGGTAAGGCACTGCTAAAAACTTTGGTGTAGACAGAAACAAAACGTCACATAACTTCACCTCACCCTTCTTCCTCTCAAGAGAACCCTCTGCAAGCTCCATCTCCATAACAAAATCCATAACCGTTTCTCTCCTCCTCTAACCACCACGACTTCATCTTCTTCAATTCAACAGTTCACCATTAACCTTCAACCGTGAGCTTCTTCCACCTCACTCATCATAGTAACAACCTCACCTCACCATAACGATACCTTCCCTCACTTTCAAGAATAAAAAAAACCGCTTCTTCTTATCCAGATTCGATTCTCGTTCAACCACCACTTCTACACCATCGCTTCACCTTTACCACAATCTTCTCCATTACCTTCATCCACCAAACTCCATAGCTTCACCGTAACAACCTACTTTCACCATAACGCCACCTCCATATTCCTTCATCAACCTTCACTATTAACCTCCATCAAGTACCATCAATAATCGATTCACATAACCTGTAGAACATAATCGCTAATTCAGAAAGAAAAAAAGAAGAAAAAGAACGCAACATTCAATGCATCTTCATCGCCATCAATGATTTCGCTTCAAACGATCTCTCAACTCCTCCAAAGCAACTCCAGTTTCATTGGTTACTGCACCAAAGAGGAAGAGGTCAAGATTGGTAAAGCATGAGGGTGAAAATCCAGCGATTTTGAGTGTTCGCAGCAGCTCCGTTTCTTCAATTTCGAAGGCTGAGAATGATCAACCATCAAAGACAGAAAATTTTTCATCAAATTCAGATAAGTATAATTAGGGATCTGGTTTCTTGTTGTTGTGTGAATTGATTTCGATTTAAAGGAGAAACAACGGAAGAATTGAGACGAGGATAGAGATTTGAGACCGACCGGAAGTGGCGACGGCGGTGACAACGATGAAAGACGGCGGATTGGCTTGACGATGAGAGGCGGTCAGCGGCGGCTCGTCTCCTACGACACTGAAATCTCAAGGAAATGATGAGGATGAAGATGAGAATATCGATCCTTATGGTGGTTTGTCCGATGATGAACAGAAGAAAATTCTTTGTTGGAGTTACTGCAAAAATATGGTGGATATTGATGTTACATTCCAAGAGTTGAAGGAAACTGACATTGGGAAGAAGAAGAGAGATTCCGTTTCATTTGAGTTTGTGTGGGAATTTGAAGTAGGAGGAAGATCTTAACGAAAAAAGTGATTTTGAAGTTTTTCAGCTTAACTAAGACAATTCCCAAGGTCCATGGGCTGATATGGTGATAGGCCCGAATATAGTGAATTTCTACACCTCCCCAAGATTACCAATGCACACCCTGAGGGAGGATTGGATTCATACTCACACTAAGGCCCAACGGGTCTTACAGCGTATGTTGAGTGCAAAATTGGTGTTGTTTTACAAGTGTAAATAGTTGGCACTCAACGACTTAATTGTATAGTTTTTGGTGATAATTCCCCCACTTTTGTATAGTTTTTGTTTAGTTTTAATATTTGTTAATTCGTTGTGTAATTGTATAAATTTGGTTGAGTTTGATTCATTTCCATTCATTTTGCAGGTATTAAGTCACTTTTGGAGCATGAACAATAAAGTGTCGAAGACACGGTTTCAAACGTGCGATTTTGAGCAACGAAACCAATGCATCAACAAATAAATCTCAAAATCAAATAATAATGAATCATCAATTTGGTTTGCATTAATTCATTTTTAGATAGGAAATTGAATAATCTTTCCAACGCTTCGAACCGGGCGCAAATCGGAGTTACGGTTCTCAAGATACGGCTGAAACAGTTTTGCATACTGTCATGCTCGCTAGACCCACGCTAGGTGTGGCTTCTAGCGAAGGTTCCAGTGAAATTTTGATGTTTTGGCTTGTGCTCGCTGGAGAGCTCGCCTAGGCGAGTAGCTCGCTATGCATGGAAACCCACGATGTGCGTGGGTGTAAAAATATCATCTCACATATTCTTGGTCCACAGGCTGCCACGTGAATAAAAATGACTCCACGCACTGCGTGGGTGATGCTCGCTGTACGTGGGTCTCTGAAACTTTATTTATTCTTTCATTTCTTCATTTATAGTTATGGGTTTTTTTGGGTGTTCTTTGACCCAAACTTCATCACTTCAATTCTTTGTGGATTTTAGCTCAATAACAACACATGGATGATGCATACTGCTGATTAGGAGGTGAATTTGCTTCGATCGGTCCGACAAACCGTTAGATTCAGGTTTATCTTCTCTTCTCTTTATGGGTTTTTCATGTTGTTGGGTTTTTTGTATGAATTTCTTCTTGAACATTGTATGTATGTATTTGTTGATTAATATATATAGTTGCTTTTATAAACCTTTATCAATGTTGTCTTGATATTGGGTTTGATTGCTTTAGAGATGAAGGATTGAACTTGATATTAAGTTAGGATGACATTTGTTAGCTCCTGAACTCTAGAGATGTATTTAGGGCTAGTACTCACTTGTATATGTGTTTAATGCTTCTGTTTCGCTTTGGAGACGAACGAAATAGTCGTAATCGCGTTGGATGTTTGGAGACAAATGCCGACATGATTGATACGTGAGGATAAGAGCGAGTAATTGTGATTGTGTGTGTTGATTAGCAGATTTTTTGCTGCATGTTTGATTAGAAGGAAATGCAATACCTATTGACTAATTTCCCATACTTTAGTTTTATGTCATTTTGTTTTCCGTTTTTAAATTCAATCATTCAAAACCAAACTCACAAACTTAGAGATTGTCGAATGGCAATTCAACTATATCTCTGTGGACACGATAAATCCCGGATAAATATTTCCAAATATTTTGTTGCTTCCGCTATACTGCAGTTCAACAGCGTATTACACCCCCTATTGCTGGATACCCCCCCCCCCCCCCCCCCCCCCCCCCCCCCAAGGAAACAAAAATTGGACTTATACAAAGCCCAAACAAAATTTCAACTACACCTCCTTTTCCATTTATACCTCCCAAGGTATTTTGCTACTAAATGATTAATGCTTGAGAATTTGAATTTGGTACTTTAGAATATTATATTGCATTTATTTTTCTGGTCATTTCCATATAAATTTCTTAAATTTGTGAATATTCTGATTTTTGGTGAATTTAGTGTATTTTTCTAGAATTTTAATATTAGTTCCTTTATTCAATAAATAATAACAAATATCAAAATGCCTCCAAAAATTCCAATAAAAATAGTGGATCACCCTGACATCATATATTGATTAGACAGAAAATTTCAGAATTTAATTCATTTGTTTGATGGACATTTGGAATTTCCTTTGTAAAAATTCATTTAAAATCTAATAAAACTTCAAAAATAACAAAATAAATATTAAAACATAAATAAAAAATGTGAGAAAATTGTTTTGAAAACTTAAAAATATATAGAATCTGGAATAAAAACCTTGAGTTTCAATTTTTAGTTTAACTTAGGTTTATGAATTTTCTTTTTTAAATACTTATTAACCCATAAATAATTCTAAATAAATACAAAAATACATTCAAAAATTCTAAAAAAAATTGAGGTTAATCCATACAATATTATAGGCTTAAGATAATTTTAGTTTAAGATAACTCTCTCTTTAGGTCATAGTTTCACATTTTTTATTTTAATTCCAATTTTTAATGCCATAAAACTTCCCAAAATCAAAATAAATACAAAACAGAAAATACAAAATCTTGAAAATTTTCACATTAACTCCAAATAACATGTTAAGTATAGGGTAAAATGATTGGTATTCAATTCACAAGTTTAGTATTTTTCATAATCCATTTTTGTAAATAACCAATTAGGAATTAATTTCTACAAGAAAATTCATAATAAACTCATAAAAAATGATAAAATCACCAAACTAATTCTGAAATTTTTGTTAAATTATGAAGTTTCTGGATAAAATTCTTTGGCACATTGATTTTTCACCCTTGAGTCAGTGGCCAATATATTGGTATTTGGTATATTTTGTACATAGTTTTAATTCACTAATTGTTTTGTGCCTCAAAAATCTTGAAACAAAAATCCCAAAAAATGTAATAATCTCATTAACATAGTATAGCATCTGGAAAAAATAATGGTTGACCTTCTTACATGAATTTTCTATTTTTGTACAATTTTGTGAATAAATGGTTGGTTTTTAGTTGGTTTTTAATACAAATTAAATAGTAAATCAATTCTGAAAAATATGAAAAAATTCATGGTTTAGTTTGAGGTAATTTCAACTAGGGTTACTTCTTGAACTTTTCTGTTTTGAGTTAGCATTATATGTCCTCCTTTGTAAATCTAGTTTTAGAATAAATCGGTTCATGTACATGATTCATAACCTTTTGCCTTGTATACCAAGCTATTGTGGACTTCAATTGTGGTTTGCTAGTGCCTCTTGATTGTGTTTTTGACATGGTTTCACTTCTGACCTTGATATGGATTATTGAATGGTGATTGAAAATAGTTTCATTTGGTTTGGATGGCTATTCACTTTGAATCAACACACACTACACCTAGTTCATATGCATAGGGCTTTGTACACCTAGAATAGGTTCCCACTTAATGCTAAATGGCTAGTTATGTGTTATACATGTTCGAATAAGTCTCCAAGTGGTTTTTACTTTGATTTGGTTTGAGGTTTGAAATTCATTTTGGTGAAGTATATGATGTGTCACTTTGTGAATCATGTTGTAAATGGTGTTCCTTCTTTTGTTGCAATCCAATTCATGTTTATTTTTTGTATTTGATTGAGATTCACTTATGACTTGTACATATTCTACTTGTCTTTGTATGGGCACCATTGCATTTAGGATAAGTCCCATTGTTTTCCATTTGTGTTTTGTAAACTGTGCACATTCAGTTTGTATTGTGTTTGCCTTGCAGGTTTTGTACATGATTGTGATTCCTTTGCAATCAAGCCATACTTTGGTTTTGTATATATAATATAAACGGTTCTGACTCATTTTGTTTGTTGATTTCAGTTGCTTGAGATTTATATTTGCTTTCGTAGCTTTGCTTTGGAGCTTTCTTGCTTGGTAGTGCTCTTGTCCCTTTTACATCTTCTGCACTTTTTCTTTTTTGATGCCATGAGAAGTAGGACTGGAGACCGTACCACTTGGACGGCAATATTATGGAAGTCCTCATTAGGAGGCAATGTTTTTTATTGTTTAATTTTTCAGGTTGCAAATAAAATACCTCAAAAGAGGCATGTGGAGTAGGGTTAGTAATCAATCCCCACGCATTCTAGTCTGTGTCGTTCTTATGCTCACTTTTTGCAAGTTCCGAGCTCTGAACATGTACCAAAAGATCTTGTTTGATACAAATAAAATCCCTCAAATAAGGCAAGAGGTAAGGGATCATGCAATCGATACCCTCGCTTTCTTTAGCTCATGTCGTCTGACATTGATGCTTGGTATACGCACACATCTTTTCTTTTTTCATCTACCTTACCCGATGATATGATATCGTGGTAATGGATGGTTTTGAGTAGCAACTTGTCATTTATACAGTTGCTTGGTCTAATGCTTGGTTGACTCGGATGATTTGCTCTCCTTGGCTATGGCAGGACCCCTTTTCTCATTACTTGGATTGTGCCTTGTAATTGTTTGTTTTTTATCGAGTGGATCTCGATTGTTTTGTACATTGTGTGCTTTGTTTGTTCATTGTTTGTGCATAAATTAGCTTGACATGTTGTACGTTTGCATCTTGCATTCATATAGCGCTTGTGTGCTTGTTCATATGTGTTTACTAACCGTTTTGTTGACAGCGCTATGGTAAGAAGCAAGCCCTCCAAGTTGCCAAGTGAGGGCTTCACTTTGTTTGCTTTATTACTTGTGCTTGTCCATGTTTGTTTGTATGTTGTGTTTTGTAAATAATAACTTCAATGTGAAAGAAATGAAAACATATAAAATACACCATGTACATATTAACTTTACTTTGTTCACTTGTAAAACTATGCATAGCCTTGACGCGCTAACTAGTCTCCCACCCTGTTGCATGTAAATACATCACACTTTAAAATACATTTTAGTAAATACTCAAACAAATAAAAAGACATTAAAAAAACAACTCACTCACTCTTTCTTTGGTTTTCTTACCTTTTTCCCATTTGGGATGGCTTGACTTGTAGCTAATAGGAAACCATAAAAAACACATAACACAATAAAAACTCGTAGGGAGAACTACGCGAATTTTGATCCCCCATTGCACAA